ACAAAGTAGTTATAGCCCTCAGAAACGTTTCTATTTGGATAAGCTGTCTTTCCAATTTTAAAAAATGTGTCTTTTAAAGCACGGTAATATTCCTTTATGTTTTCATTAAAGTATTGTGTTACCCACAAAGGATGTACGGAACTTTGTAACATGTCTGTTTCCTTAAATTCATGATTACTTGCAACTGTAAATTCATGATTCCTTGCAACTGTAAATTTGTTTTTTGTTAAATCATTAAACAAGCATTCATCAGATTACTATACTTAAAGGGAGTGACCGGCTATATGTATGGTAGTTGAACTGAGCTGAAAACTTTAGAATGAGATATCCTTAATCCTGATCGCTTAATCTGAGTATCCAATGTACACACTTTTAATTTATTCTTAATCCTCTTTTTTGGATATCCTACTGTATAAAAGTTACGTTTGATAACAATTACAAATACAATGCTATATCGATTGAACTAATATGCGATTGAATTAAAGTCACCTGTTCACAAGCCGGCTTTTAGAACATTTAAGCAAATATAAATTTAATCGTGTTAATATGAACTTATTAAAAAATATATTTTATCACATTTTAGGACTAATCATTTTAAACGTTAGTCTTAACAAACATTAATCCAAAACTTACATTTATTTAATCGATGTTTAGGTCAATGGATATGACACAATTAACACTGGTTTTTCAAAAGTCAAAGAGTACATCTTAACATGATACGCTGATTTGTTGAATTATATACTTCTTTCTTGGATATCGAATGCGTATTAAAATAATCTCGGGTTTAGTAAAACCAGGAGTTTAAGCATTAATCTTGATATCCATCATTCTAAAGTTTTCAGCTCTGAGGACTCTGAGTATACAGTGTTCTGTAAATCCTGAGGTTGAGCGCAAATTCGGCGTTCAATACTCCAACTTTGGGGGTGGATACGTTTTCAGAATTAGTTTTTTTAAATTGTTAAATAACGACGACATAAAATGTAAAAAAAAGTTCTACAATAAACTACAGACGTCATGCATAGGAAAATGTTGAGAAAATAAAAATAAATCTTATCATCGAAAATAAGCAATCTTGTTCGATTATTAGTTTCTATTTTCTCATTATTCTAGTTCCTCATTATTCACAAAGATCTTCGCAGATTTTCTAGAATTATTATTGAAAAGACGACATTTGAAGAATTTGAAGAAATCTGCGAAGAAATTCAAAGAAAAAAAGAAATTCAATTTAATTATGAAAACGAAATAATCGATTTTAGCATTGATTTATGGACAAATTTCTTTTGAGAAATATGTTCCTAACCATTTAATTAGATTACTATATAATTTTTACTTTATTTATCGTTGTCGTTTTTTAATAATTAAAAAAACTAATTCTGAAAACGTATCCATCCCCAAAGTAGGAGTTTTGAACGTCGAATTTGCGCTCAAACTCAGGATTTACAGATCTTTAAAAAGTTTAATATGTCTCAAATGAATCCGAAAGAAGTTTTCCACAATACCGCATACTCAGTTCAACTACCTTACATAGCCGGTCACTCTCTTTAAGGCATACTACATAACTTAACCTTGGGATCGAAACATTTTAAGAGTTTCCGGTCGTCTTTACAGTCTCATCTTTTGTGGGTAACCCTTTGATAGATATTATTTTTAGGATGATGTTGGTTCATCTTGGCTTACCCCAGTGGCAGCTTAAGTTTACCAGTCTAGGTAATTATTAATTTGAAAATAATATAAACATAACAGGTGCATGAGATACAGGGTATTCTTAATACATTTCAGCCTTAAAAGGACCGTAAGTGTAATGCCCTGTTCGCAACAGTACCCTTGACACATTCGACTATTCATCGAGTAGATTGATCTTCAAAATATCGAAACCCGATTGAATTTCTCTAAAACGCGACTGTACGCTGTGCACAGTGTACAGTGTACAGCTGATCTGTGAACGCTGAAACTCCCTTTAAAGCATGAAATTTAAGTATAAATATGGAAAATAATAATAATTAAAGTATAAATATGAACAAAAAACTGCGCATCATAATTCATAGATCCCAGCCACCCTCAACTAAGCTTTCTGTGCGTACTGTAGTGATTTGCAGTACTTCAACCGAGGACGTAGTAGAGTAATTAAGTGACATTACATTTAAGAACAGAAGGTTGTTGTGTGCCAAGTAAAAAAAAATTAGGTCTGTCTCTCAAACTCAGACATTAATTAAATAAAAAATATGGAAAGTAAAACTTTTTATCAGATAAATGGAAACATCAATATAATCACAATAGGCCAATTAAGTTGTTATTAATTTCAAATCACAACAGGCCAATCAAGTTGTTATTAATTTCGGGGTATTGGATATCTTTAGGAGGCTGAAAGATTGACAAATAAAAAATCCAATTATAGACCTTGTTACTGGATAAATGGAAAAATCTATAGAATCCCATCACAATTCACAATGATTTAATACTTTAAATTATAGTCTTGTATTGAATGCCGTACTCTTAAAACTGCTATCAGAATCGTATCAGTCCAGGTACTACTCATAAAACTATCAATGCGAAACCAATGGGAACGATCTCATATGCTCCGATGTCAACACAGACATAAGCACGTAACTATCAATGCCAAACCAATGGGCATGAGCTCATAGGCTTCAAATGTCAACACAGACACAAGCTCCAATTTATCAAAGCCAAACCAAAGGCATTATCTCATAGGCTTCAATGTCAACACAGACACAAGCTCCAATTTATCAATGCCAAACCAATGGGCATTATCTCATAGGCTCCGAGGTCAACAAGAACTTACGCACGCAACTATTAATGTCAAACCAATGGGCACGATCTCATAAGCTTCAATGTCAACATGGACACAAGCTCTAAACTATGAATGCCAATATAATCATCAATTTGTAATTGTAAACTCGTTCTGTACACAGATACATGTATTTTAGCAATAAACTTTATCTTATCTATCTTATCTAAACCAATGGGCATTATCTCATAGGCTTCAATGTCAACACAGACACAAGCTCCAATTTATCAATGCCAAACCAATGGGCATTATCTCATAGGCTGCGATGTCAACAAGAACATAAGCATGCAACTATCAATATCAAACCAATGGGCACGATCTCATAAGCTTCAATGTCAACATGGACACAAGCTCTAAACTATCAATACTAAACCAATGGGCACGATCTTATCAGCGCGTATATTTCAACCAGGAACAATTACATCTCTCACTGTAATCAAAGTGGAGTATATTGTAAAACTTTACAAGTTTTATTTCTAACTATATATCTAATTACTTACAGAAGTTGAACTAGATAAGGCAGAAACAACTAAAACTTCTAGAACAATCTAATGACAGGCTTGAGATTATATTGGTGAGAACTATTTTTCAAGAAAGTTAAGAAAACAAAATGGCGTCCAAATAACAGTTTCAACTAGCAGCGCAAAAATAAATTTTCTAGAATATTCTAAAATATTCTATCTTGTCTTAACTATAAAAAGGCGAGAGAGGACAATATCTGCAGTTAGTTAGTTAGATTGTGAATTTTAGATAATATCTCTCAGATCTATATATTGTGTGTAAATTAACCTCATGATTTAAGTATGTCTTTTAAAACAACAGATTAAAAATCTAGGTAATAAGTTCTTTCCTTTTAACAATTTGCTCTCTCAAAATCCGCAATTATTAATCATCAAGTATGTTCATGATATCCTAATTTATAGAGGCTGAAATCTACTAGTATTAAGTAAAGATAGATATTTACATAAAATTTGTTTATACTCATATTCAAATATTGTTATTCATATATTAATGATTACATTTATAAATGTTTTGTTTTTCTAATCAATCATTTCCATTATTATTATTGTGAAAATTTTCCCTTGGGCTGAAATACATAGCTAAACCAAAATCTCAAAGTTAATGATTTATATAAAGTAGTTAAGAAAGATTGGAAGCCTTCTGACACGAAGAGGAACAATCTCATGGTAGGATTAAAGTTACTCATTCAAAAGTTAAACCCTTAAGAACTAAAAACTTAAATAACATTTAACCCAAGAACAAAGAGTAAAATATAAAAATTGGATGATATTAAAGAAACATTAAAACTTATTCAGAAATGCGTTGTCTACCATAAAGCGTGGCAGCATTTAATGCAGGGCTTATTGATTAAGCTATTCATCAGAAATTCAAATATCTAAAGGCCTCAAAACTGCCAGTAGTTTAACCTTTAAATCCTGCATTATTTGCTTTTGGGCAAGTTAAAGCTATTTGAACTCTACTTTGCAATATATTTCATTTAAAACTCATCAGAAACTATTTGATTTATTGTCTTACTTTGTTTATTTCTCTTAAACATTGAAAATGGTCAAATTGCGATTCATATCAGCAATTTTATAAAAGTCGCTTATCATAAGATTAGGCCTTACTTTTACAATATTCCAACTAATGTGTATTTAGAAATCTATGTTGTAGGTTAAGTAAATATACGTATTTCCAAGATTTGCCCAATTATATATCATTGTAGTTAAGCTAATCACAAAACGTAGCTAATCTAATTGCATTACAAGTTTTGCATTGTTAAGGATAAGCGCAGTTAAATTTACAGACACTGTACTTCGAAATTAATCTAGGTATGATCAACTGTAATTAGTACAGTCTCAATCTCTTCTCTCTATCTATATTTGTGTTTTTGTGATGAACATAACATTTAGAAATAACTAACATTAATTTTATTGTGTTTTTTACATACTTATACAATATACATATCATTACACAATTCACGGTGGACTAAGCCAGTGGGGTCGATCAAATAGGCCTAGGATTAGTGCGGGTACTGTAAAAAGTCTGAACGCACCATGGGAGTTGTCATAGTTAGCCCTCCCACGGGACTATGCCAAGAAAATTGACCCCTGTCGTATGTTAGTCTGGTTAGGGCGACGTACTGTACCATAGACCATAGGATTGGGTCAGTACACGCTGTTATCTGGCAGGCTGGTACAAACTGGGCAGGTCCTGTTCGAATTCAAATTTACTACGGCCCAGAGTGAATTAAATAAACATTAATTATAAAGTAAGCGAAACAAGATTGTTACCCCAAAATTTACAACAAGAAATACTTATGCTTCTTGAACCATATTTTGAACACAAACTTTGTTCTTTCTGAAAAATGAGATTGAAGATTTAAAGGCAATGAATTTTTCATTTGTCCTTGTCTTTGTCTGACACAACTTGTGAAAGAAAAAAACCTTTAGTTTGGGGGAATGCACATATTTGATTAGAAACAGGGTGAATAATGTTACAGAAATGATCAATACAAGCTCAACATGTCTACCCTCTAAAAGGAGTCCAAGTATTATGAGGAAAACTAGAGAAAGACTTATGATAATTTTGATAATTAACTTCATGCTTATCATATTCTTTCCAGTCTCTCCATTTTCAGATAGCACACTAACAAGTGTATCCAATAAATTTTAATATAATTTTTCTACTTTTTGCAAAATCCTTTAGAACATTATGTAAATATGGATTTTAGATAAGAATATTTTCATTGGTTTCCTATTGGTGGCATGGTGCTTCTTGAGGTAGTACTTTCCATACAGATACGAACCAACTGTTGTAATAACAGTAAGCACCAATAGTATTGCAAAGCTGATCTGATATGCGCCAACAGCTGCTGAACTATCGATTCCTGTGAAATGTCCAACTACTACCCCAACCACGCCTAAAATGGTATAAACAACAATTATACTGATATATATGAAATGATATGAAATAAATAGAGATATTCTTATTGTTCTAATTGGAAGCTTTTAAATGCTTAATCACTGTTTCTTTTTAAAGCCACTTATGCAGCAAAAACAAGAAAATAAATTGAGCAAATTGATCTAATTTAGTTTTTAAGGCAAAGCTGGGTAGCAGGTCAAGTTAAAATATAAGATTTCTTCCACATTCAAAATAAGGCCCTTAAAGGTTACACATTTTGAATTTCTGAGTCGGGTCAACCTTTCCGCTCCCAGTTTCTACTGTCCCTAACTCTATGTACAGGACTAGCCGGGGCAACAAGGTTGACGCGGTCAGACTTTATGCTTCATATAGGTTGAATTAACTTTTACAAAAGGGGCAGAGGTGCGTGGTTAATAAATTCAGCCTGTTTTGAATCGATTAGGGAAATTTAAGATGGTAAATAGCTAGCTTTTCATGTTTTAAATTCGAAGATTTTATTTAAAGATTCTATCATAGAGAGTGACATTTTATTGCTTTCAAAGATATCAATATCAACTGTGGTAATTCTTCACTGAAAGGAAGTGAGTTTTTGTCAAGTTTTCTAATCCTTATATCTTCGCAACCTGTTTGTGTAAACTTTTGATATTTCAAAATTAGACTATCTTATCTAACATAATTTATAGTTTGAAATATCAAAGGTTTACGGTACTTGGTTGCAAAGATATAGGAATTTGAAAAATTGAGTTTGTGACAAAAACTCAATTTCTTTGCCTTTGTTTATAGCAGAGCTATGAGATTTTAAAGGCTTAAATATGAGTAAACCCCGACTTAATCAGAGACTAAACCTTAAAAGAAGCCCAAGTATGGATTGGTTCTGATTTGACCGATGAGAGACTGCTTATAAAGCTTTTTCTTCATAGATGCACACAGATCAGCTGTGACAAGGTCCATGGTTCAAAGATGTAAATTTTGAAAATTGAAACAAATTATTAATATTATTTTTATGCTTTTTTATTTGATAAATTAGACATCTCGTAAGTTAAAAAATTTCAAATATACAGTTGAAACAATATTTACGAAATTTAGTATCTCCAGTTTTTGGAGACTCAAGCCTTCAAGTGTTAAAAAACCAAGTCAATTTGTTTTTACAAAACCCGAGTGCAGTCAAAACTTAAGTCTTGGCTTAAGCTTTACTTAAGTGTAAATAAGACGGGGTTTTATTCAGATTTAAGCTTTTAAAATCTCAGCTCTGGTTCGAATAAATCCACCTCTTGATATGGTATAATATGCAGGGTATTCCATAATAACAGCAGTCAGGATGAGTAGTACAGTCAGCAGTCTATGGCAAAACTTCTCTGGTTCAAACTGGATCATCTTGTCAAACTGGAATTTATATTTTTACTATAACATTGCCTTAAAAATTTTACTTGTCATTTTGCATTGTCTTTAAAATCATGGCGCTATTGTTTAGGGTTTCCATGCCCAAATCTGTTTTTATTAAATATCTGAAAAGTTTGGCCAAATATCGTATTTAAAAAAATAGCTTTTGAGAACATGCACAATTATTGCTGTCCATGCGGTAAGTTTTTGCAGAATGATGCACAAAATTTGTATTATTCTTCTGTTATGGCACTACAATATAATAATACAGATTAAGTTTTGCGCTATTTTTGCGTAATTGCGAATTGAAACCCTACTATTATTGGACTTATTTGGGTGAATGCAAAAAGTTATTAAAAGACAGGTTAATGAAAACTATTGAAAATAAATGCACACATAATTTCTTCCCATCAAACTATATGTACCCTAAAAGACTTAGTTATTTAGAATTGTCCATTACCACAAACACTTACTTTGATAATCATAAGAAGCCTGCAAGCTGCAATTCCCATGACAAGACCCATAACCAGATGTACATTGTAGATGAGGACTAGCTCAACCAGCAGACCAAACCAGTAAGGCATGAATGTGATCAAACTCAGCATCGTTCCACAACTCTGCATATAAAGTTTTGAAAAGAAGAAATACATACTTCTAATGTGCTCCAAACCACATATATTTTATTGGACAGACATTATTATTATCTTTTTCGACTAGTAAGAAATGATATACTGTTGATATTAGTGGGGTAATTTGTATATTACTTATTCTAACTTCTACATATCTTTTGTGTTATATACATTATTATAAAAAGTTAATACAAAAAATTAACTCCGAGGATATTGTATCAGTATTAAGTTTTACTTTTTATTTCAAACATTATGCCAAGGAACGTTGTATTAATATTCATAATGTTTTATAAGTAACCATTAGTTGTGTTAGTCACTGTTCAGAGATCTATTTGTATAGAATGGATGAGATCTACTTAGCATGGAGATTACGAAAGATTAGGTTATTATGTTTGTTGAGTTTGCATATCAATATTTAGTTGAATGCACATATTACAGCATGGATAATTAATTTTTCCCATCAATTACATATGGACACATTATGTGGAAATTGAAGGCTTAATCTCGATATCAATGTTTTAAATTTAAGGATCCAGCACAGGATATCAACGAGATTTTTAATTAATCCGTAGATCTAAGAACTATATCTTACATGGGGAATTAAAAGGGTGATTGATTTGTGACTTTTTACAGAAATCAGCCAGCCGCCCACCCGAGGTCGCTGCGTTTTTACTTTAAAAAATATTGTAATAAAAAAAATTTCAAGATCGTCCATAGGGTTGCGAATTGATAATTTAATATTGGAGAAATCGCCGTAAGGCCTAAAAAAATATTTGAAAAAAAAAAATATGATACATCATTTTCTTGGAAATTTCATACTGAATTCAGATTCGAAAACCATTTTAAAAAATATTAAAATCTAAAGAAGTTATGGCCAAATAATGGTGATAAATTCGGGTTCTTTACCTTGTTAATGTTTTTGATGAGATTTTAGCTCTAACTCACTCAGTTTTCAATTTTTAAAAAAACTCTTTTCAGATTTTAATTCAGGATTAATTTTCCAAGAAAATGATGTACGACATGAAAATAAAAAAAAAATTTGTGGCTTGATGGTGAATTCTCCAATATTAAATTGTCAAATCTTAACCATATGGACAATTTGTAAATTTATTTTGATTTTTTTAAAGTGAAAACGCAGCGACCTCCGGTGGGCGGTTGGCTCAATTCCAATATGGATCACTCCTAACGGGGTTGGTTATTTCTCTACCTTATTTTAATGATTGTCCCTACTTTGCTTACCAAAAATTAGACAAATTAACAGACAAACAATGTGAACCAAACATATTTTCCAGATTTAGTTTTCTGAGCCAATAAAATTTCAAACAAATTTTTTTTCGTTGGATGATATTTTTACTTAATTCTTAACCATAATACTTTTTATAAATATTTCTTTTCCAAAACTTCTTGAGAAAGAAAGGTAATGATGAAAGCTAGATAATTCTTATTCAACGTTCCTAAAAACACGGTAAAAATGTTTGTTTGTGAAAAAAACATACATTATTTAATTTACCTGTTATAAGAAATGTAAAGAATTCAAATCCATACATATTCCATGTTATTTTGACAAATTGTATTTTTAATAATTATTTACTTCTTTACGGGGAAGTTGAGGGAATTTTACTTTAAAGGGAGTGACCGGCTATGTAAGGTAGTTGAACTGAGTATGCAGTGTTGTGGAAAACTTCTTTCGGATTTATTTGGGACATATTAAACTTTTTAAAGATTTGTAAATCCTGAGTTTGAGCGCAAATTCGACGTTCAAAACTCCTACTTTGGGGTTGGATACATTTTCAGAATTCAAGTGACATAAAGTAACTTGACACCCCTCTGTTGGGGTCAGTAATGTTGGTCAACACTCAAAAGGTGGTGTAAGTAACATGGGCTTAAAGAGTTTAGTTAGAAATATAATTGTTAACTATTGGTTATACTAGTAGATTTTTTTAACAATTGGTTTGAAATCTGATCTCTCTCTAAATAAATCTTGCACCACAAAATGTTCAAAGGGAAAAAGCTATGATTATAAATCAAATATATTTACCGCAACTGTAACTACAGCATTGAAGATTTCAGCCAGATAGGAGTTGAGGATGAGGATGATGTTGATCCTGGGACGGAATTTAATGAATTGTGAGAATTTGTTGAACAAAGTAGAGACGGTTCAATTATGCATATTGTATTGCCGGTTCAGCATCAAGTTATTAAATTTGGAATTATCCTGATGAATTTGAGCCGAGTACTGTTTTAGCCAGTATATTGATGAATCCTATTACGTCGCTCTTATTGGATGAAATTTCCGGAAAAGGATTTGAGTCTTTGCCACAAACTTAGATTTTCTAATCCCTTTATCTTTTCAACCCAGTGCCGTAGACCTTAGATATTTCAAACTATGAATTCTGTTAGATCAAATTAATCTAAGTTTGAAATATCAAAGGTTTGCACCATCAAGTTGTTAAGATGTAGGGATTAGAAAATTTGAGTTTCTGATAATTTGTTGGAGCACTGGCATTGAATTTAGTTAGATGGAAATTTGAAATTTTTTAGAATGTAATGTTGTTCAAAATCTTGAGCTTTGAATCGGGGATTTATGATTTGAGCGAGTGAGCACTTGAGATTTGAGAAGTAATTGAACTAGCGGTGACAGTGACCTCTCTTTAATTCATTAAATTTGGTTCCTGAGGTAAGGAAGAGATCTTCTGTATGCCCGTATTGTCCCCGCACTAATGTTTGATACTAAGAGTATGATTAACATGTACGAGAAAATAAAAAATCTATATACAGAGGAGACATCTTTGCAGGTTGTATTGGTGCTAACTAAAGTTTGATTATTATCTGAGTTCATTTTTGGTTTAAATCTGAATGGTCTCCAAATTGCTAAAAAAAATTAGGTATTTGAACTTTGGGGTCCTTACTCTCAAAGGTTTGGCCTCCCAGTGGTGCTATTCAATAAGACGAAGAGAATTTTCCTCCTCTTTGGCTCTCTGTTGTGTCCAGGGGGTCATGGTTACTTTCAGTTTTGCTCTCAAGAAAGCAAAGACATATTCTATGATGCATGTGAGTTATTCATAAATTTAAGTTTGTAACCCTTCTGAGAGAGAATAAAGTAAGCCTCCATCGGGAAACTAAGAGTTTAACGAATTTTCTTCTGAAAATTCGCGGATTTTTAATCAATTGTTGGAACATTTTCATGATTTGAAATTTTATATTCATGAATTTTATTGATAAGTTTTGAGTTTTATAATTTGTTAATTTTTGTAGCTAAAAAGTTTTGTTTTGATAAGTTATGTTGTTAGATAAGTTTTGTAGTTTGATATCTTTTGTGATGATAAGTTTAGTGACGATATGTTTTGTATGGGTTCCATTGAACTGACCGAAAAGAAACATTTTAAGAAACGAGGTTACTAAAACTTTAGAAAACTGTAAACATTTTAGTAAACTGAAATCTTTTTAAAAAACTGTAAACTTTTTAGTTAATTGGAATCTTTTTAGAAAACTAAACTTTTTAGTAAACTGTAAACTTTTTAGTAAACTGTAAACTTTTTAGAAAACTGTAATAATTTTAGTAAACTGTAATCTTTTTAGAAAACTGTAAACTTTTTAGTAAACTGTGATCTTTTTTAGTAAACTGAAATATTTTTATAAACTGCAATCCTTTTTTGGAAAACTTCAATAAGGAAACTGCAACAGTTAAACTACAATCTTGTTTCAGTGAAATTCAATCTTATTAACCATTTTAGTTTATTGCAATCCTCTCTAGTAAATAGACATTCTTTTGATAAACTGCAATTCTTTTTTAGTTAAAATCAATCCTTTAAACCTTTTTAGGAAATTGCAATCCTTTTTAGTTATACCTACCTTAGCTATCTTTTACTAACAAATTACAATTTGTCTTTGAAAACTGCAATCTTTTTTAGGACACTGCCATCTTAAGCAAGCTGCAATTCTTTTCAGTACCTTCAATTTGTTTAATAAACTGTTATTTTTTTCTTAACTGCAATCCTTATTGTTAAAATATAATCCTTTTTAATCTTTGTGTGCAAACCTGTAACACGTACAGAATCAAGGGATGTCCAAACTAAGTTCTAGGAATCTATAATATATTTCAACTACATATTTACTTAACTAGGCTTTTAGGGCGCTTCGCGCCCATCTTCTATTTAAATTGTGAGCATTATCTTTTTGTTTACATTTTAAAACTAAGAAGAAAATTTTGTGGATTTTTAAAAAAAAAATCGCCGATTTTCAAGAATTTAAATTCTTTTACAAAATTAAAAACCTTAAAAACCCATTTTTAAAAATTTTTATCATTCATAAACCTTCCCTGTGGTCATGTGATGTCCCACAAAAAATTTGGGCCCGATCGGTTCAGCCGTTTTGACGTTTATTGGATACAAACAAACAAACAGACTAACACCAAGACAAGCCAAATTTATATATAGATTGCAATCTTTATCTGTATTTACTAGGTCCTGCTCCGTGGGCATCAGGTCTTCATGCTCTCCTAGCTCCTCATCTTCATCATGAGGATAAACTAGAACAGGTTAAGTTTAATTTTGTAAAGTCATTTTTAAGTATGGAAGTAGGACAACCCATGATTTGAATTGATCTACTAAAGAGTGTCCCATTGAACATGGGAATTAGATGACGACTTCTTTATCGACTTTGTTCCATGTGGGATTTTTTCGTTAACATAATTGTGTAGTATTATAGTTAAAACATTTAAGACCAAAAACTTGGGATTTCCAAAATGTGGTCTACCTTTTTTTACCCTCAAATCTAGGAAATTTGTCCAGGTTAAAGTTTATTGAAAATCAACAAACTGTTCAAATGTTTAATATATCCGTCAATTTTAAAGATACAAAGAAGGTATTGACCACATTTTGGAAACTCATTAGACTTTCAATCTCTTTTAGATGTACTCCATTATATCATATCTAAGTCGTATCTCAATTCCCATGTTTATTGGGACACCCTGTATATCCTGTATCCTTATATATCAATAATATAAAGAGGAATGAAAGTTTCATATACAGGTAGCCCGCAAAAAGCACGAGATAAAGACGACGTGAAACTTTTAAAGTATGACGATTTTAATGGTAATTTAAGCCTTCAGTCATGAATATAGACTTTCAAGTTTCAATTGATAATTTAATTATTTGGAAAGAAACATGTTACAGTTGTTACAAATCATGAAAATTAGTGAGGGAAAAAAATATTAATTCTGTACAGTCGTCTCTGAAGTCTTATTCTTGCCTCACTCATATTCACACTAAGGAGGTCTGTTATAAGAATCCCTGGCCGACATGAGCCTCAGCTGTGCAGCAGAGAGCCTCCGAGATTTGCCAGGCAGTGCGAATCTCTGCTATACATGTTCAGCATAAGCACTAAGCAGATACATGAAAATGGGCCTGCACTTAAAGTTTTTTTTAAACTCGTGTTTTAAGTTAGATAAAAGTTTTTTATGCAAATTTTTCGATATAGTAGCATGAGATATTTATCAAAGATCAGAATTTTTTATCAATTAAAATAAATAGTGTCTAATTATGACTAAAAAGAGGTTTAAAAACTTTAAAAAGATTTTACGTGAAAATTAAAATGATTAGAGAAAAATTAAATTTCATTTCATCTTTCATAATCTTTGATTGAAGCGATACCTTTACGATACCTTTTTCGTAATTCTTTTTGAATCCATAAAATTTTATTATTTATTTAAATCTTAACAATTGTTCTAACATAGGATATTGAAGATATCAAAGATTACAAACTAATTTTACTTACTTACTTTCTGCGTGATAAATTTTGTAAGTTTTAGTCTTATAAAACACTTTATTATGTCCAAATAAGCATGTCATGAGAAGCAATAAATAACTCTAATCTTTAGTAACATTCTTAAGCCACTATAGTCAACAAAATTGTAAAAGAAATGTTCTTCACACATAAAAACAAAGATTAAAAATAAGCTGTGCTTTGTGGCGGAGGCTCGTTTACTGCATAGCGGAAGCTCTACTGTATGGTGAAGGCTCATACTGCATATCAAATCTGGAGTCTTGGTCTGCATAACGGAGGCTTATGGCGGAAGGGGGTTCCCTCCCTCATAAGATCACATAGCGTTATCCTCGTCTGATCTCGCAATCCATAACAGAAGATTAAGTTTTTACTTAATCCGTGAAAAACTCTAATTTCCGATTAAATCCTAGTGAAAAACATACAAATTTTCTAACTGGTTTAAACTTGTGAAATTTACACTTCGCAAACTTATATTTTCTATACCCTTATCTTTGCAACCTGCATACTGTCAAAAACGGGGATATTTAAAACTGTGAACTCTTTTAGCTAAAATAATTTTAAAATATCAAACGTTTACACCATCAGGTTGTAAAGATATAGGAATCAGAAAATTTAAGTTTGTGACAAAAACTCAATTCCTGTAATTGAGCTTGTCAGAATTTACTAGCTAATTACATACCGGTTTAAATAATCCCATAGCCTAGAAAAATATATTTATTACTACTTTTGAATTTAGAAGTACCCTGATGTTGAAGTTGACTCCACCATATTCAAGGTTCGTTCCAAGGTCAAAAAGTCTACAGAGAAGAAAGGAGATGAGCCAAAAATTGAACAAAAATAAACATTCCTCAAAGAAGAATGCAGAGGCACAACTGTAGCCCCCCCCCTATATGGGGGGGGGGGGCGTCCGTTCCTAGCCTTTCCAGAGGGGTTGAAAAATGGACTTTACAGAGCAAAAACATGAGGCTATAATAATTCAAAATATACGAATTTTGTTGTAAAAAAAACTAAGAAACTACCCCAGCCCCCCCCCTCTGGAAGAAGAAAATTTCGTGTAACATTGTTTCAGTTTCTATCCGTTAAAAAACAAATAAAAAAACCAGTGATGAGACCAATGTAATTAATCTGCAGTGAAGAAACTCCAAAAACGTAATAATGTCGAATTGAGTGAATTATTGATTAATTGCCTTAATTGCAGTGCTTAGATCTGGAGCCGCAAGATTTTGGCTTCTTGGATCCGGATCCGCAAAAATATGCGGATCCACGGATCCGGATTCAAGGGGTAAAATATCAACCAAAATCTAAAAAAAACTTTTTTACTCCTAAAACCCAAATCTGAACTTTTGAAAAAAAGCTAGAGATAAAAAATTCCTCATTTCTGAATTGTTCATCAAGTTTTAGGATAAAAATACGCGAAAATTTTTTTTTAAAAATTTGAAAATTATTTTAAAATATCAGTAAATCTTAAAGAAATGACCGGGTTCCGGATCCGGATCCAATTTTTTTCCAGTGCGGATCCTAAGCAATGCTTAATGAAAAAAGAGATCTCAGACTATGTGCCCCTAAAGGAACATGACATAAGGACTTAGTATTTGTCTTTGACCGTTGAAATTATTTGCAGAATTCATCTGTCAACCTTGTTTTAAATGATTTATTCATGGAACAATAATTACAAAATTCTTCTGCTCACGACATTTCTAAAATATCATCCGATATTTTGTGCTGCTCACATTACCGAAGATATTTAGAATTTCGTTTTTAGTTCAATTCAGGAGACAGAAAATGTCAAAATCGTGTTGAAAGCATATTAATACAAGCAGACCACATTTAGGAAATGTCGACCAGGTGTTTTTGTGAAAAATCCGGGGAGATTTCAATTTCTTCTCTCTCTGTCAAACAAGCGGACAAAATAATACAAAAAAAGATAAATGTATCCTCGATCCAGGCTACCCATGAGTGTCCACAAAAAATTATAACCCATTTAGCCCAGCAGTTTGGCCGGCTTTCGAGTACATATATTCGAATGCTTTGTTTTATTAAATAGTTTGTATCTAAAACTAACATAAACTAATAGTTGACTTTACAACCAAGGTACTGCACGGTGATCTATCAAATATCAATATTATACTCCACGGTGATCTATCAAATATCAATATTATACTGCACGGTGATCTATCAAACATCAATTTTATACTGCACGGTGATCTATCAAATATCAATTTTATACTGCACGGTGATCTATCAAATATCAATATTATACTGCACGGTGATCTATCAAATATCAATATTATACTGCACGGTGATCTATCAAATATCAATGTTATATCAATACATATATTTTTTACAACATTTATTACAAACAACTGTAATGTTTACACACATGAAGGTGCTATTCTACCATATTTTAATTATTCATACAATATAACATTTTTACAATTATTTGACTGCAATTTCAGATCTAATTTGTGTTAAAGTACTAGACAAACTTTATGAAAATTTAGTTGAGAGTCTGTTTAAGGAACTAGGGGACATTTAGAGTAAATATTTATACATATAGAATTTTTTTATTTATTTTGTATGTATCTCTTTTTTCATATTAAATGAATTTTTATAAAAAATCCATTTCAGTTTGATCATGGAAAGGTTTAAGTCCTTAATCAGAGTCTAAAAAGCTAAACAAGTTGAACAACCAAGTTGTGTGTTCTGTTCTATTAAACAATATTCCATTATTCAAAAAACAGAAATCATCCGGACTAGACAAGAAAAGACTGACTACAGGGGGGGGGGGGTTACACTCAATAATAATAATTCACATAAATATAGATAACTGTCCCGCTCCCCAGAAATTTAATAACATTAACATTTACTGACACTGCCAGCCGCAGTCGTATCGCAAAAGAGAAACTTTTGTGCCAACTACGTTTTCATTTAAAGTTTAAATAAAGTGAGGCGCCAATGTTTGTAAATGTGATGTAAGTTGGTAACATTTTCATACAAGTGTCAACGTAACATTTTGACGTTTATCCAAACCAAACATTTCTGTTTTGTCAATCACGTGACAATCCACTCCGCCATGTTGGATTAATGGTGCTTGCCGTTGGTTAGTTTTGGCTGGTCAAGGATAACGTAGGGAATACCAAACTGCCATTCATCAACAGGATAATATCTAAATAAAATAATGGTTTTATACATAGTTATATCCATTCTGGATATGCTAAAAAAGAACTATGGGGCCGAGCGCTGCGACAAGTACAGACTTGGGAAGTTGCCACTTGGGAAAAGGCCTTTGGGAAAGCTCCTAACGTCAAATTTTTGGATCTGGTGTCAATATGTGACAAGTTTTAAAGAATCTGCAAATCATCAAAATCCAGTTATGTTATATGTAGTAAAAAATAATCTAGTTATGCTATATGTAGTAAAAAATAATCCAGTTATATTATATGTAGTAAAAAATAATCCAATTATGTTATATGACGTAAAATAATCCAGTTATATTATATGTAGTAAAAAATAATCCAATTATGTTATATGACGTAAAATAATCCAGTTATATTATATGTAGTAAAAAATTATCCAATTATGTTA